CGGGAACCGCCGCGTGGTTCATTATCTTCATATCCTGCCTGCGCTCTCCTCGCCACACACGCATTCATCGTCTCCCTGGGTGCCTCCGCGAGGAACGAGGGGCGCATCGAACGAGTAAGGGCGCCTGGCCCCTTACGACGCTTCCCTCAGGCTCAGATCACGGACGAGGAGGAGGAGGAGGAGGAGGAGGAGGAGGAGGAGGAAGAGGAGGAGGAGGAGGAGGAGGAAGAGGAGGAGGAGGAGGACGAGGAGGAGGAGGCGGAAAAGGAGGAGGACGAATTCGCCCTGAAAAATCACCCCGTCTACTCCCCTGGCCCCCGCGCCCTGGATCGCCACCCCTTGCCCCCCCTGGCCCTCCAGACAACCCGGAATTGTCAGCCCCTCGTCTGCTTGCCCTGCCCCCTCGCTATTGCGGGGGCGAGGAGGCCCGCGAAACATTTGTTTAATCGTCCGCCCCAGAAAGTGTTTTGTTTTTTCCTTTCTTGTTTTTCAAAAAAATGTTTCCCTTCATTCGTGAAGATGGTGTCCCGATGATGACGATGTTGATGATGCTGGTGTTGATGCGGATGATGATGGTGTCGCGATGGTAATGACAATTTCGATGATCCTGATGGTGTTGATGATTATGATATGATGATATGAGGATGACGAAGATGATGCTGATGATGGTGTCCCGACGATGATGATGAGGATGATGTTGATGATGATGATGTTGATGGCGATGACGTGGTGAGGTGATGATGCTGGTGTCCCGATGAGCATGTTGATGATGATGACGACGGTTGTGTGCGATTATGACGATGAGGATGTTGATGTCGATGATGAGGATGATGATGTGGTGATGATGATATTGATGACGGTGGCCCGGTGATGATGATAATGTTGCCGATGTTGATGATGATGATGATGGTGCCCCGATGATCATGATGATGGTGATGATGATGGTAACGATGAGGATGGTGTCCCGGTGATGGTGTTGTTGATGATGATGTTGTTGATGATGCTAATGGTGTCCCGATGATGATGATGTTGGCAATGTTGCTCATGAGGATGATGAGATGATGATGGTGGTGTTCCGATGATGCTGATGATGATGATGATGATGATGGCTTCCCGATGATGATGAGGCTGAGGAGGATCATGGTGACGATGACGGTGTCCCGATGATGGTGATGATGGTGATGACGATGACGATGATGCTGGTGATGAGGTGGTGATGAAGTTGGTGTCCCGATGATGCTGATGATGATGATGATTTCGTTGATGACGGTGATTTTGATGATGATGATGATGATGGTGGCGTTGATTGTGAGATCGATTGTGATATCGATAGAATATCGGTGGTGAGACCGAATGTGAGGTATATTGTGAGAGTGATAGTGATATCGATAGTGAGACCGATTGTGAGATCGATGGTCATGTCGATTGTGAGATCGATCGAGTGAAATAGATCGAGTGATTTCGATTGTGAGATCGATCGAGTGAGATCGATCGAGCGAGACCGATAGTGAGATCGATAGCTCGCAAGATCGATCGTGGAACCGATCGAGTGAAACGTTGGTTCCCCCACCCCCGAACCTCCGTATCACCCGAAGGGTGGTCGTATAGATATAGGTGTATGTATATATATATATATATATATATATTATATATATATATATATATATATATATCCGTAAGGGTTTCGTCCCCTGCCGCCGGCCCCCTCACTCGGATAATGGGCCATGGAAGAGCTACGTCATGAGGCTTTGGCGCTGTCGCGCAGCAGTATCGGAAGTTCATGCGAGGCCGATTCGCAATCGGCAAAACCAACTGATCACAAGCGGGGTTACCACACAGGGCGATTGGTAAGACGTGTATGGTTTACGAGCTTGGTTACCACACCTTGGGATTAAAGTGCCGACGGAGTACTCGCAGTTTGGGTTACCACGCCTTGCGATGGATGTGCGTGAGGGGTGGCACCGAATTTCAGACATGTGGCAAATCCCCTGTGTTTTTGGACCCTGACCCCGCGGATCTGCGTGAGGGGTGGCACCGAATTTCAGAAATGTGGCAAATCCCCTGTGTTTTTGGACCCTGACCCCGCGGATCTGCGTGAGGGGTGGCACCGAATTTCAGAAATGTGGCAAATCCCATGTGTTTTTGGACCCTGACCCCGCGGATCTGCGTGAGGGGTGGCACCGAATTTCAGAAATGTGGCAAATCCCATGTGTTTTTGGACCCTGACCCCGCGGATCTGCGTGAGGGGTGGCACCGAATTTCAGAAATGTGGCAAATCCCCTGTGTTTTTGGACCCTGACCCCGCGGATCTGCGTGAGGGGTGGCACCGAATTTCAGAAATGTGGCAAATCCCTGTGTTTTTGGACCCTGACCCCGCGGATCTGCGTGAGGGGTGGCACCGAATTTCAGAAATGTGGCAAATCCCTTGTGTTTTTGGACCCTGACCCCGCGGATCTGCGTGAGGGGTGTCGATTTCGAGCCCCCCCAGCAATTCAGACAACGCGCCCAGGGGACGCTGGAAAGTCTTGTTTGGGCCTCCCCCCCCTCGCGCGGTCAATCAACTAGTTACAGTAACCAGCAAGAAGCAGAATTGTAACACTGGAAACTACAAGCTACAACTGGTACTGGAAACTGCGAACCCGTGCCTCGCAGCCTGGTGGCCCCACAAGGGGGCCGGCGGATACCTATACGACCACCCTTCGGGTGATAAGGAGGTTCTGGGGGGGAGGGAACCAACGTCTCACTCGATCGGTCTCGCTATCGATTTCAGTATCGATCTCACTATCGGTCTCGCTCGATCGATCTCACCCGATCGATCTCACAATCGATCTCACTCGATCTATCTCATTCGATCGATCTCACAATTTATCCCACAATCGATCTCACAATCGATCTCACATTCGGTCTCAATATCGATCTCACTATCGATATCACAATCGCTCTCACAATCAACGTCATCATCATCATCATCAACATCATCAACATCAAGATCATCACCAACATCGTCATCATTATGAGGGCACCGTCATCATCATCATAAACATCATCATCACCGTCAGCATCACCATCGGGACAACATCATCATCATCATCATCATCATCATCATCATCATTACCATCATCATCTCATCATCAACATCATCATCATCGGGACACAATCATCGTCATCACCATCAGCAGCATCATCAGAGTCATCGTCATAATCGGGACACAATCTTGATCACCATCGTTATCATCATCAACATTATCATCAACATCGTCATCATCCTCGGGACACCATCATCATCATGATCATCGCACCATCATCATCGACATCATCATCAGCAACAACATCATCATCATTGGGGCACCATCATCATCATGAGCAACATCATCATCAACATCGTCATTCTCATTATTATCCGCATCGGGACACCATCAGCATCACCATCATCATCACCATCATCATCAGCATCATCATCGGGACACCATAATCATCATCAACATCATCACCATCAACATCATTATCGCCGGGACACCATTTCCATCAACATCATCATCACCAACATCATCGGAATTAGCATCATCATCATCATCGGGACACCATCGTCGTCATCATCATCAACATAATCATCATGAGCATCATCATCCTCATCATCGGGACACTATCATCATCATCATCATCATCATCGACACCATCATCACCATCATCATCATCATCATCATCTTCATCGGGACACCATCATCATCATCTCATCCTCATCATCCTCATCATCATCATCATCATCATCATCATCTCATCATCATCATCCTCGCGGGACACCGCGGGACACCGGCGGGACACCGCGGGACACCGCGGGACACCGCGGGACACCGCGGGACACCGGCGGGACACCGCGGGCCACCGGCCGCCCGGAATGGAGACATTTGGTCCGGCCGCGCCTCAGCCACACGGGACACCAGCGGGACACCGGCGGGACACCGCGGGCCACCGGCCGCCCGGAAGGGAGAAATTTGGTCCGGCCGCGCCTCAGCCACAGGAGACTTTCTCTCGCCCGCCCACGCAGCTTCGCTTCGCCCGCACGGCACGCACGAACACGAAACCGACATCGATTTCCCGGTAGGGGGGCTCTCCGTTCCACTTCGATCTCACCCCCCAACCTCCGACATACATACATAAATCTATACATATAAATCGATAGCTATATATATAATATATATATATATATATATATATATATTCGCATCAGAAACGAATAGGTGGACTGCCAGAGCAGGAGTCGGGTGGGCGACGTTGTTTCCCGTTGTCTCCCGTATTCGTATCTGGGTTACGCCATCCCGCCTGCCCCCAAAAGAGGGAATGAGTCCACGCGTGAGACCTTTAGGGGCCTCTTGGGGATCATCTGGGAACCTCGTTCAAGCCTCTTGGGGGTTTCTTGACACCGCCTGCTGGCGGTCTCGGGGGTTCTCTTGGGGCGGAGGGCTCGGAATGTCAGTTCGAGTTGCCTCTCTTTGGCCCCTCTTGGGCCCTGTTGGGGCCTTGATATCGGGGGTCGTCTTGGAGCCCTCTGCGGCATGTTTGAAACCTCTTGGGCGGTCTTGAGGCCATCTTGGTCGTCTTTGCAGACTCCGCGGCGTGTTGGCGCTCAGCTTGGGCCGGCTCACATTGCATCTTGGGCAATTTGGAGGCCAGCTCCGAAGGCCCCGTTGGGGGCGTTGATGAGTCACTGGTGCACCCCTTCCCCAGCCCCCCCCCTCTAATGCAATGTGGGGCCCCTGGGGAAAGGGGAAATGGGGAGGGGGACCGCCGAATCTCCCGCACGCCAATTCACCCCAGGTATGCGGGGGTCGGCGGATTCGTAGTAAGGCCTCGTTGCCCTCCGGGGCAAGCGTTCGGTTGAAGTTCGAGAGCAATGGCGGCAAGCAGACGGCAGCCTGGCCATCCCGATCCCGGGTTCCGGCCAATCCCTTCACGTGGGCGAGGAATACAAACACCTCGGCACGTGGGTCTCTGCGTACGGAATGTCATTCCGCAGTGCCGCTCACAGGTCGCAGTCTGCGATGACGGCGTACGCGCCCATCTCCCGCAAGGTCTTCGGCTCGCCGTTGATGGACGACAAGTACAAGATTGCATTCCTGCGCAGCCTCGTCCTTTCCCGCCTCACCTTCAACCTTCACGTCTGCACCCTGCCCATCAAGGCGATTCGACGCCTGTCCGGGGTCTACATGCGAGTGCTTCGACGTATTGCAGGAGACCCTCGTTTCTCTAAGGTGGTGGCGCTGTCTGACCGGGAGGTCAGGGAGAAGCTTGAGCAGCCTTCGCTCGATTGCATCTTGATGGTTGCACGCTTGCGGTACTTCGGCAGGCTGATCCGGAACCAGTCGGCGCACCTCCTCGCCTTGCTGCAGGCCGGCGCTGGGGAGCCAGAGTTGCCGTGGCTAGCGACAATCCGGGCTGACGTGGAGAGGGTGCGCTCGCTTGGCCTGGTGCCTGGTGCGCCTTCCTTGCGGCCTGGTGCGCAGGCCTGGCTTGGCCTGTTGAGGGACGCCGCCAAGTGGGCCCAGATCCTCGACAAGGTTTGCTTTCACGAGTCCTGCCTGGACAGGGCCGCTTCGCCAGAGCACTCGAAGCCAGGTGCCGGGCGCGGATTGGGCCACCAGTGCCCAGTCTGCCCACCGCGCTTTCCTTCCGAGCGCGCATTGGCCAGCCACTGTCGGGCCAAACATGGGCATCGTTTGGCCGTCAAGCAACACATCGACGGCTCTGGCGCGTGTCCTGCGTGCGGCACCAATTTCCACACGCGATTGCGGTGCATCGCGCACTTGTCAGATAAGCGGCGCCCAACGTGCACGGCCTGGGTGTTTGCCAATGTCCCTCCTCTGCCTCCCTCCGTAGTGGCCCAGCTCAATGAGCAAGATCGGGCGGCCAAGCGCGAGGCTTGGGCCCAGGGGCGAACGCACCCGGTAGCACGAGGGGCCGCGACCACTCGCGACGGTAAGCGCATCGGACACTGCCGGTAGCACTGCCTCGCGGCGATTGTACAGTTCGTGTCACGGCCAACGTGTTGTCGAGATTTTCGCATGTACAGCAAGCATTCTACGGTGCTTGTCGTAACGGCGCCGGCCGGTCCTTGACGTAGCCCTTACAGGCGGTGCTTCGTCAAGCTCTTGCTTTCGCGCTTCTTCCCCGCAGCTGCCACGCTATCCTGTATAGTCTGCGAAGTCCTGTGAACACCCAGGAGCCCTCCGATCCCTGACCAACAAAAAATGCCATTACTATTATTAGCATGAGTATCCGTATGAGTAGTCGCATCAGCATTCGTACTGCTAGTGGTTGTGGTAGTCGCAAAAGTACGAGTACGAATTCGATTCGCATCAGTACTAACATTAAGTAGGTGTGAGGAGGAGAAGGAGGAAAAAGAGGAGGAGAAGGAGGAGGAGGAGTAGGAGGAGACCCCTTCAGAGGCTCTGGAGGCAGTGGAGGCCGGGGGTGGCGGAGGAGGAGGAAGAAGAAAAGGAGGAGGAGGAGGAGGAGGAGGACGAGGGCCATTTTGGCCCCTGCGCCCGGGCGTTCCCCACGACCCCGCGGGAGGGGGGGCTGGCCCGAGGGCGCTGTCCGCCACGCGGTGGACGGCGAGCCGTGCGATACGTTCGCGATAACATATTTCACGGCCCGCGTGTTCTCTACCAAGATTTACGGGGGCATCGCCAACACCAGCGTGACATGCATGATGATCCACGTGAACATAATCGAGATCGACATGACATACTTCGAAATTCATCAAGAGCCAAAGCATACGAGACCCACCCACCTCTGTGGAGGCCTGCTGGCAAATATGCCGAGACCAGACCCGCATATAATACTAGCGTTGGCGCAAGCAGACACTGCCCACAATTGGGGCACAACGTCCGACATGGGATACTGCCGCGACCCGGCGACATCATGATAACTGGTACGGCCGCCCTCGAGATGGCGTCCAGGGCAGCCCCCGATCACCGAACAGTTGTTACTTTTCTCTCCCCGCTCGCTCCCTGCCGCCACCTGCCGCCGCCGGCTCCGCAGCTGTAAGTTGAAGGATCGAGGCGCGGGGCTCGTGCCAGGAGCGCGCCCCGCGCGCGATGGACAAGTGGGTCCCGGGGCCGTCGCCTTGTCGTCGTCCCCTCCTTTGCTTCCTCTTCCGACTATTTCAGCTTAGTGGATTACTGAGTGTTGAGAAGCGTGTCTGAAATACCCGTCATGGGCCATGAGACCGATCTAGTGACATCACTATTCATTTTTTTTTGCCTGGATCCGCATTTCCCTTGCAAATGATTGGTTATCCGCCGAAAACTCAAACGATGTGTCGGACGTGCAAATGACCGCAGTCAGTGATCTCAACATGTTTGCTCCACTGGGGACAGCGCAAGATCAGCCGAACATCCCGCCCAATGATGTATTTAGTCATATCCTTCCGGGTGTTCCTGCTGTCCCTTTACGTGGCCATTTCGCTTTTCGTTCTGCTGGAAGACAGCAAATCGGCACTGGCTCAAAAAGTAGAGGGGGGGGGGGGGGGCTGACCTGACTCGCGCACTCTCAGCTGTCATGGAAGATGAAGATCTCAATTCTTACATTCCGTCCACCAGAGACAAGAATACTTTGATCGCATCTCAGACGGATCACGCGAGAGACAGCACGGGGGAGACACCGGAAGCAAAGCTCCTTAAGGTACCTGAGGATGCTAGCATGGCGCATGATGCCCGAACGCAGCCTCGCCTCCAGCTTGGCAGGGAGCCCGATCGATGACCAGCAGTGCCCGGCTACGCATGAAATCGCAGAAATACGCCCGATTCCAACGTTGCCTCCGCGTAACGTCGTCAGGAGATGTGCACCCAGATCGCCGCTCGCGTCCAGAGTCCGCACCAGATCGAGGAGCAGCCGAGGATCTTGCGGCGCGTCTTCTGGCGGCCTTTCGTCGAAATGGGCCACGGGGCCAGGGGGCCTCGATGCTGCCCGCCAGCGGAGATCAGATGCCCCGAGAAGGCACGCGACATGCAGGGTCATCGACCAGTATGCGGAGACTGTTCGCGCGCATGCCAGCATTGCAGTCTCAGTTGGTTTCGCTCCGAATGCATAGACACGAAAGAACACAATTGTCGTCGACGTGTTTTTTGAATACAGCAGCAAGCGGGGGCAGCGAAAGGCTTGCCAAACGCGAGGAACGGGCTGCGCAAGTTCGCGCGATTGAAACGCGGAAGGACGAACGCATGTGGATGATTCGCGACGAGGAGGAGGCGTTCCTGCATGCCACGCAGCAAGCTCATTCAGGCCGGCTGGCAACATCGGAAGCAGCTCAGCAGACGCTGCTGGAAGGTGAAGAGCAAGAGGAACAGTTGGAAGAGTTAACGGAGCGCAGGATGACAGAGACAGGAAACCGAGGGGCGGGGGAAACGGCAGCGATGAAATCACACGTGCATCAATGTTTGCAAAAGGTGGAGATAGAGGTAAGGACTTCCCATCGGTCAGCGGAGGGTGCGATGCGCGCGAGGGCGGCGCGCGCAGATGCTCTCGCCCATCGTGCGAATGAGGAGGCAGCGGCAGTTGCACCGCGAGCGAAACTTTGAAAGCGCGCCGCCACTGACCAAGCAATGCAGATGAAAGCTGACATGAACGCGTTTGCCGGGATCTTGCCTGGCAGACAGGCGCGCGACGATTTTTTCGGGGGGGCCCGCGACGCGACCGAGCAGAATGTCGGGGCGGTGTCTGCGCAGCGGATTCAATCAGCGGCGCAGGATGGCTTGATTCCTATTGCCGCGAAGGTGCACGCAGGAGCTCGATCTCCGGGGGGCGGTGATTCGAGTGGACTGGCGCCCACGGCTCAGCCATTGACGTCAGAAGGCTCAACGAAGCAGGTTTCGGAGAGGACGCCGCGGCTGCGCGTGGCCCCGGGAGATGTTCGCACTTGTCATTTCTGCCCAAATTCAAAGACGGTCAATGGCGTCCAATGCGTCGCGCCATGTCGCGATACTCGCGTCGGCGCCGCGGCAAAACGACGCGATCCACGCGCCCGGGGCACGTCAGAAGCCGAAGTGGAAGTGGCCCGAAAGCGCCAGGGGGAATAACGTTGGCGCCCCCAACAGTGGGAAGAGCAGGCGCGCTCGGCTAGCCTCATCAAAAAACGCGAAGGCAGCCTCGTGATCGCGCGTAAAGAGCGAGAGGAATTCGAGAAAGCCAATGACTGGGGCGAACGAAGATAAGTCCGGACCCCCTGACTTGAAAGACATTGATTGGAGTTCCCAATGACATGTCAAACAACGTTTTCGCAAAGTGCCGACGCTTCCCGAATTTCGCGAACCGTCCGAAGACTCCTCGCCCAAGCGCCTGATGCCCCCGGGGGGCCACCTGACCCGTCGCCTCACGCCAGCGGCTCAGCTGGGGGCGGGGGCGGCAGCGGATGGGCCCCCCCTGGCGGCGGCGGAGGGGGCGGCGACAAAGATGATCGTGGGCTTGTTACTTATCCCCCACATGTTTGGACACCAACAGCAAAACGATGGAAGGCAAGTTGGCGCAGATTCCCGACGCGATCGTGTTTCGCGAATGGCAGCTCCATGCGACGAGGGCGGCGTCGTCTGCCTCGTCCGACGCGCCAGGAACAACGCCTTGGATCACCAAAGCACCAGATCCCCATGTAGATGCACAACTTCTGCGGCGCCCGGCGAAGTGCGAGCGAATGGATATGTCGATCGTTTCGGACCCCACTGGCCCACTGGAAAATTGTCTGGGATGAGACAAAGAAGGATCTTCCACCCCAGCGGATTCATATCATCGCGCAGATCTGGCGCATGGAATTCGACGCACATTATGAATCCCGTCTGCTCGCGGGGCGAGAGATGATGCGTTTGATCTTCCAGTGGCTTTCCGCTGATGCAGAGAATGGCAGGAAGGTGGCGGTGCGGAATGTGTTTAAGATCGTCATGGATAAGAACAAGCCAGACGAATATCTATACCACTTCTAAATACATAGATGGCGTTACGTCGAGACCCGCGCGGGGGCTCTAAACCACCCCCAGAAGTGGCAGCAGCAATCCACGAACACTTCTATGAGCATATGAAACTAGCTCCGAAGATGAACTGGGCAATCACCTTCTGCGAGATGAGTAGTGCCCGGGTTGGTGCGGACGTAAAGACGCACGATTGGCTGCTTTGGCAGTTGCCGAAAATGATGGACACATCCAGAAGCGCATATCGTATCAGCCAGCGATGGCTCCAAATAGACTAGACGACTCAAATCAAGAAATCAGGGGAGTCGAGCATGCTTGGAATCCGCAACTCAGCAAGCAAAACAGCGCGCAAGCAAGAGCGCAAGCAAGCAAGCGAGCAACTCGGTAAACGGCGAGCGTGCAAGCAAGCGCGCAATCAAGCAATCATGCAAACGCGCAAGCAAGCAAGCAAGCACACATAAGAGGGGGTGCCATTGGAAAACTGAGGTGGGGGGGGGGTACCATCGTCGCATCGCCATCGCCATCATAGGCATAGGCATAGGCATAGCCACAGGAAGTTCTGGGGGGGAAACGGACCAATGATAAATTCGAGTTCCTACAGGGCAAGCCTATTTGGAAAATCATGATTGCGGAAAAATCTTTTAAACAATACATTTCAAAAATGAAACTGCTGCTGCAGACCCTGCTGAGCCGGCGAAGGCATCGGGGAAAACCGCGGAGAAGGTCAAAGCAGGGATGTCAATTTAGTCGCGAGAAGCCCGCGGCAGTTCCCGCGCCGCAACTGGGTCAGCCTGCTGCGAAGACCAAGACAGACGAGGACGAGAGGGGCGACGGCAAAGGCATCATATATAGATCTACTACCACGGGGCCCAGCGGCGCCAGAATTTCGCCCTAGGGTCGCACGGGAGAAGGACGAGAGAAAACCGTTTGTTGCTCTTTCTCGAGAGGCAAATGCCGAGGTTATCGGAATGAGCGCGCCGGTGCCGACAGCAGAGCAAATTGACTCCCGATGAAATGCTGCGACGTGACACATGGGGGCAAGC